AGTCTCTTCAATTCTTAATGGGAGTATTGAGTGTGTCGTGCTCCACATTGACTGACTGAATGTTGCATCCGAAGCCCGCATTTAACCGCTTGCAGTCTCGAAGCAGTTATTCTTGCATCTTTTTGACCTACATAAGACCTTTCTTAAAAATAGAATTTCAGCCACCTCCTCATCTTCGTTTCATTCAATACCCACAGGAAGTTTTTTTCTAAATATGGGGGTGGTGGGGAGAGGGTGAGGGGAGAGAAAAGCGCATCTGTGTGTCCCTATCTCTCCATTGTTCTAGATGTAATGAGTTTGTCACATCCCATCCTAACACATTGCATTACAAGAGGAATTGAGGAAAGGCAATGTACCATCATCGTTTCCCATATTGATTCTGTCGAGCGGGCAGGGACGAGCAGTACTATCATGAACATTTATTTGTATAAATTGCTCGAGAGGGAACAAGCATATGAATGATTTTTCATTTTCATGGTGCCATTTCGGTAATGTGGCACCTTTACTTCTTAAGCTAAGAGATGTTCTCCCAACGAGAAAGGCCTTTTATTAATGCAAATTGTATTGTATCATGATGCAGAATTACCGTACACAGTTCAGGAACACCTAGCACGAAGCTTGTATCTCTCCTTTTATGTGTTGCCCTTCCTTGAGTGGCGTGTGCGTGCTTGCGCTGTATGTTGTCAGGCGGTGGCTTGTTGCCAGCTACGCTGATCTTGCAGATTAACTTTGGGGGCTTCAGTCATAAACATCAATCTGCTATTTGACTGAAAGTTCATGAATTCAGGAGTGGGGCCTTGGGAGTCTGCAGAGGAGAAAATACCAGTCATTTGTGCATCCATGCCAAGGCGGTTGGCAGGCGGGAATTCTCCGAGGCAAGATGGGAGGGCTGTAACATTGCATGGGAGGAATGCTAACTATTAGATCCAGTTGAGTCTGCGTTCAGTTAAAGGAGCCAATATGGCAGGAGGCAGCACATCAGTTGCTTCTGCTGTCAGGAGACTCTGCTCGCTGTTCCTTTCCCTTTTCCCCAGGCACCATGTAGTACATCCCTCCTTGGCACTGTTAGTTACTCACTAGATGAGCTGTACCATTACTGGGTTGGGGAGGGTTCAGACTGAGCAGAGTAGATGTGCCATATTTCTCCGTGTGATGATTGGTGACCAGTTGTAGCCTAATCTTGTCGTCTCGTCTGAGAATAGATTCCCATCAGCTACAGCGCGATGGCCTGAAGTAGATAAATGCTGTGCATTGTTTAAACTTTCATGCACGTAGGGAAATTTGGGTTTATATTAAATGAACTTGCTCGAGTACCTGCAAGCATACTATGGGGATCTGTAATATTTGCAAACTATGGCATAATTTTCTGATGCATGGTTCATTATAGCGTGCGTAAATTATGTATGACATGAAAATTCCAAATAATTAGATGCCAGCTCTTGGTGGAGGAAATGGATTGCATTGATCTTCACACAGCGCGACACGCAATTGCTCAGCTGCTGCGAGTGGAGCCCTCCCTTTCACTTACAGTCAATGAACCTCAGTTCGTTGGTGTTAAAGCAACGTTTGACGAAGGAACGGGTTTCCGCCAAGTGGATGGAGACGGGGAGAAAAGTCCAGGCTAATTGCACAGCCCCCCCACCCCCCCCCCACCCCACCCCCCCCCCGCATCCCAAACACATGGTTGTTGGATTGAGAGTTGCACTTAAATAGCCTCCAAAGGCAGATAGTTTTATCACACCAGCTGAGCTGGAAGATATGCCAACATCAGTGGCAGGTACTCTACTGTCTAAGGTTGTCAAGTGCCTTGGGACATCCTCCCAACATGAAAAGCACTACATCAATGTAAATTTATTGTTGGGGTTTATTTGTTATACTTCTCTTCTTCCCTGCCCTTCTCTCTCCCCCTGCCCTCAACCCCCTCCCAATTAATAGGTTGTTCATCTCATTGTTGTTTGTGGGTTGCTTCTGGTGTAGATTATCCATCGAATTGGTCTACATAACATTTGAAGTAAGTCTGTGTGATGGGCTTCGAGACATTTCAGTGTGATAAGGCTGTGTGTCTAAAGCAATTATTGACGGCTTATAGGGAACTCTGCGGTCTTGCCTACTTTTCTCTCGACTGCAGGAAACCTGTGTTACCATGACCAGTAGTTCCACTGCATCCACACATCCATTCATTGTGATTTGCTCCCATTAATTACCCTTTTAGTCCGGGTTAAATTGGGTGACATGGAGCCGATTCGCGTATTAGACAGAATCTGCATCCAAACACTTAAGAGGTATGTTAGATGCTCAGCTCCTACGACTCTGTTCTTAAAATCCTGTCGGCTACGCGTATGCTACAGTCAGGATTCTTTGACTGGCTACCAAACTCCAGCATGAAAATTCTAGGTAATGGCGTGCTTCAACTGATCCTTTGGTTACACGTAGAAGAAGAGCACATTATAAGCAGGGCTTGTGAGCGGGGGAATAGCTAATGCTGGAGTTCTGCATTTGATGATTCACCACCATTCTCTTAGCTGGCATTCAAATTGGGGGGATGTTGTTACTGTTTTCATTTTGATCTCGATGGGCCTGGAGGGGTGTGGTGGGGGAGGAGGGAGGGGGGTTTACCTACTCGCCTGTGCATCTGACCTAGTTTCTAGGGCACCTTGTCATGGGGGGTGGGGAGTGTGTGAGGAGCCACAGAAGGCCAGCTGACTGTCCCAGTGGAAAAGTTAGTTACATCAGCGGCTAGACCAATCCTGTGCTCCTATTTATTATTTTGCGACACTATCAATATCCAGAAGGCGGAAACTGTTTTAATTCGTGCAGAAATGTGTAGTCTATAAATAATACTAAAAATAATCCTTGCATTTGCATTTCACGTCTTCTAGACATCCCAAAGCGCTTCACAGAATAGACTGTAAAGTGTAAATTTTGTGGGCGAAACACGGCAGCCAATTGCACACAGCAGTGTCCCACAAACAGTTGTGGATTGGAGTGACCAATTTAGTATTGTTTTTTTTCTTGAGGAATTATTATCAGACATGTGGAGTAAGGAAACTTGCCCAAAGTTTCGCCCTGCCGGGAATCAAACCCAGGTCTCTCGCTTGTGAGGCGAGTGCTCTAACTACTGAGTTGCAGGACTCATCAAAATGATTCAAAGTGCTTCCCCCAAGAGTTACTGTAAAGTGTGTATTTTTGGTAGGTGAACGTGGCAGGCAATTTATACTCAGGAGTGTCTCGCAAACAGCCATGAAATCAGTGACCAATTTTTATCTGGAGGATTGTTGGCCAGAATACCTGGAAAAATGCCCTGTAAGGAAGTAGCAGGCTTCCTTTGTATTTGAGCCGAGGTTAAATGAGCAGTTTAGGTGTTGTACGTCCAGATTTGAGATAATCTGAGATCCAGTGCACTGAAAAGGCAGAGAACCGACCACATACAGCATTGCACAAAGTGATGCTCATTAGACTTAGAAATGGAGATAATTTGGTTCAGAAATAGTTTGGGGTGGAGGAGGAGGAGGAAGGTTACCAGAAACAAAGCATTAGGCACTTTGTTATTCATTCAACGAATCACTGCTGCAGCTCACAGCCAGAGCTGGGTGATGTTTACTCCCAATAGAAAATGTGTTTTTTTATAGAACATTTAATAATACAGACTTGTATGTGAAATGCCTCATTCGTTATCATCCAAGTACTACAAACAAATCCAAACTGGTGTACTACAAAGAGTATTCAGTCAATAGCTGGGTTCATTCATCGCATGTTGCCAGCATAGGTTTGATGAGCTGAATGGCTTCCTTCAGTGCTTCCGTTCCGGGATATATCTTTGAAGAGTTATTCTTTGTTATAAAGTTGGGACAGTTTAAATGAGATGATGGAGTGTTTTGCTTGTAGACAAACTTCCATCTTTCCTATATTGTAGACCAGTCAAGTATTGGGCTAACCTCTTCAAAAAAGTATCTCCATTGCGATTAACCGGGTTTGCTCTTAACACCCATCTTCTATAGTCCAGTGCTCTATCTGGAGTGTGCTATACCCTGTTGCCAATGCTGACTAGCCTCTGTTCCTAGATGGCTGCCTGTTGCGTCACAGCTAACGTCATGTGCAGTGTGGCATCAGCCGCTGCCATTGTTTCCCCACAGACCCATTAAATCATGGTGTCTAGATTGTGTTTTTGAATCCGAGACACTGTCAAAGTGCCGATTCTCCTGCATGACTTCGTTAGAAGGGAGAGCTGCCGTCTTTGGTTTAAATCTCTAACCTAGTTTGACATTATGTCAGTTCTTCAAAACCGAGCCCAGCTCCTACTGTATTTTTGTGTCAATCCTCGTGTACGTAGATGTCACTTGCAGCAGATTTCTGATGTTGACAGCACTTTGATGAGTGTCAAATTATGGGAATTTTTGTGTCGTGGATTTCATTCACTGGAATCTGTGACAAAACTATCCAAACATATTGCACTTAAGAGCACCATTAGCAGCTGTCAGAGAGAAGGAGAGGCATTCATCACAGAGCCTAAAAAGATTGTGTTGGGGGGAATATACAAGATAAAGGATTGTTCTTCTCTCTTTCTCTCCCCCCAAGATGGGCAATTTTTTTTTAAGAAGTGAGGAAATCTATCTAGTCAAAAATATGGACACCAATTATTTCAGACCCGGTGCCCAAATCCCTGCAAAATTTCAAGCCAGGAAAATTTGTGACCTGCTTAGTGCACTGTACTCCACTTTAACACCATTCACAGTGTATAGTGACTACCATGTTAGATGGTCTCTGAGCAGTCATTATTCCCAGTCATAATCACAGAACCATTGCCAAACCAACATTATACTCCAGTTACCACATGGACTTGGCACTTGCAGGTGTGTTCACTAACAACTGTCAGCTTTGGAACCTGATCTGCCTCATTAGCGTAAAACCTCTCCATAAGAGTATTTCTCTGCTTATACCCTGTTGGAAAACAATCGGAAGATTATATTTCTCACCGCAGTTGTTTGCCTTTGCTTCAACAGAAATGCATCTACTGCAGGATGCGAGTGCGGAGCGTCTCGGGAGCCTGCATCCAGTGTTCGCACGAGCACTGCTCGACGTCGTTTCATGTGACGTGCGCTCACGCTGCCGGGGTACTGATGGAACCGGACGACTGGCCGTACCTCGTCTCCATCACCTGCTTCAAGCACAAAACAACCAATCAGAGTGTAAGTGTATGAATCGTTGCACGACAGAGAGCCTCAGGGCCATTGGCAGGCAGTAGTTTTGTTCTTTGCACTAATAGTATTGGGTTCTGTGTTTATTCCAACATGTACCTGCTGCTTCGAGCCATTCAAGTGTTATTCATGTCGCTCGCCCATATTCCTCCGCCACTGTTTTCCTGCTCGCATGAAGCTGTTGACTCCTTAGCCTCCCACAAGCAACTACTCACCCGCAGTTACTCACTCAAATGGCTGTTCTTTGTGTGCGAGGCTCAACTGCAGACTCTCCATGGGGCATGTGTTCAGCTTCAGAAACGAGGCCAAGGCAGTCCAATGTAATAATAATTCTTGCTTTTGATCTCGCGCCTTGTTGATCCATTGACGTCTCACAGCGCTTCACAGACTATCCTGTCAAGTGGATTGAGGGTGTATTTGTGGACGAAACGTGTACACCTGATATCATCAAACTCAGCACAAACCGTGGGACCCCATAGACCTCTAGCATTGAGTATCGCATGCTGCAGTAGCTTAACCAGCTGAGTTATTTGGCGAGCTTCACTGCAGAGCATTAACAAAGGGTGACCTGCTACAGTCTTCTAAGAGGGACTGAATGCTTTGTGAACTCACAGTGTTATAGCATCTTATTGCATCAGTGTTTCAAGCACTTGAGCAGAAATTGCAGTGAGGTGTAGCAACTGTTTCCCGGGGCAATGTGGCAGCCATTTGCATGCTCCAGCAAGGAGCCATTTGATGAACAATGAAATAATCTGGATTGTCAATAAAGGCACTGGGGAAAAACTTCCTTTTCCTTCCTCTTTTCAAAACTGTGTGATTTAATGGCAGATGGATCCTGGTGTGATATCCCTGAAGGATGGCACTCTGACTTTCCCCCAGTGCGCTAGAGTGTGAGCTAAGATTATGGGCTCAAACACCCAAATGCATTCTCAGAAACATGCCCTCGTCTGCAATTCATCCCCTTTTTTATCTGTTCCGTGTAGCATCACTGAGCAGTGAAATTATCATTCATGCCTTTGCAATAAATGTACTAAACCTTCTGTATTTTTAAATGGCCTCAAATTGAAAAGCGCAATGAGTAAAGGAACATTGTCCCAATTTGATTTTTTGTGGTTATCTCCTCGTGAGCGCTCATTTTAAAAGTTATAGGAATTTCATTGTCGTATAATACTCACCACCGCCCCCAGATAAACTTGGTTGCGCGCAGTTCATATATTTGGCGGACTTTTAAAAATATAGAACGATGAAAGATTGAGCTGAATCACAGAATAGCTGCCGTATAGTTACGGGGGTCACATTTCATACACTTTGGGAGGAATGGGGATCACATCCACTTCTGCAATTCATCTCTTCCCAGCTGCAGTTTTGACGTAAAATACATACATAGTTATTTTGAAGCACGCAATTTAAAATAAAAAAAGGAAAGGGGTATGAATAGATTATCATAACTGCTTGAGAGCGCGAACCATACGAATGAATGCCTTTGCAATTTAAGATGAGGGATGACTGGTATCACAGGGTGAAAATTGCAGGTTTTTTGCAGTGCGCTCTGTTGGCATCAGAATGTGAAAATTATAAGTTTTTTTTCCTTCAATAAGTGCAGAGTAGTTAGCGCTGCATAAACATTGGGCATAAAATGTTGCTTTTTTATCTTAAACGAATATTTGAGAATGCAAAGTATAGGCTAGGCACAATATTTAGTTGAGCACTATACTTAAACTTGGAGTCCTGTGGTGTGTTGTTTAAAGCACTCGCCTCGCAAGCGACAGGATCTGGGTTTGATTCCCAGGTGGGCCGAAATCTTAGGCAAGGTTCCTTACTCCACACACTTCTGTTTACCTCGCAGTAAGTAGGAACCCAGTTGTTAGTCGATTGGCGGATCGCTTTCTGGAGGCATTAATTCCCCCTAAATAAATAATAATAATTTGGTCACTCAATCCACAACTGTTTGTGGAACACTGCTGTGCACAATTAGCTGCTGCGTTTCATCCACAAAATATACAGTCTATTCCCGTTGTAGTATATTCTGTGAAGCTCTTTGAGACGTCTCAACAAAGTGATCAGGCGATATATCAAATGCAAGGATTATTATAAATAATAATAAGTCGTGCATTTGATGCAGTGCCTTATCACAGCTTCTAGATGGCTCAAAGCATCTGGAAGACATTAATATTTTTATAAACTTCAGGCTAAGAGCATTGGATTTATTTAAGGATCATCCTGATGGTGTAAATGGGAAGACAGCAAGAAGGATGACATCAAATGAGCCAAAGGCCTTCTTCACCCCAAGGGTGTCATAACCTTACATCAGTTCAAACAATATGCCTGCAGCCTGTGGTTTGCAGAGTTAAATACAGCAACTCTGTCAATGCACCTTTTCAGTAGCTGTGCCCAAATTTATCCATTGAAAAATATGTCTCAGGAACCTTACCTGTTAATTTCATGCTCCGCTACGTTAATACTCAGGGGCCAATGATCAATGTTTTAAGGGAAAGTGAAGGTGGGGGGGGGGAGGGGATTACTACAAGAATAATCAGTAGATGCAACCGTGACTAGGTTCCTGGAAAACCTTCCTTCAAAAGCTGCACGACTATTTCAAAAACGAAGTGGGTTTGCCAGAGCCGGTTGATTGCATGCTCTACACGACTGGTTCTTGTTCTCTGGCTGAGCTCCAAAGGTAACTCAGCATCTCGGAGAAAGCCACGCTTCTGTAACCTACAATTAGAAATCCAAATGAAGAGCTGGCTTGGAAGACACCTGGTTGCACCCGGTTAAAGTCATTGCTTCCTGCCAAAGTACACTGAGCAATGTAGTCACCGCTGCTCTGTATAGAGTTGAGTGTTTATCTTCACTGTGCCATTTGACACTTTTCTGTTTTAGATAGACACAGTCGAGTTATTCAGGTCTGCTCTGGTGCTGTATTTCTTGATGGGATTCCTTTTTTTATAAAGGAGCAATTTGTGAGAGAGCCTTTTGACAAACGTGTTTGATTGTGAGGGCTTCTCATTTGTGCGTTAAACCGTGCACTGCATAATTCTGGGTCGTATGTGCCTTGTTCCTACCAATAACGATAGCAAGCTAAACTGAAAAAAGGGTTGAGTTCTGTACTGAGTTTTTTTTTCTCTCCCTAAACTTCAGCAACACCGTGACCTCCGGGTCTTATCGCTAGGGCAGATGGTCATCGCAAAGAAACGGAACGGACTTTACTACAAGTGTAAGGTGATCGGCACATCCGCCCAAACCTTTTACGAGATTAATTTTGAAGACGGATCGTACAGTGACGATGTGTACCCGGAAAACATTGTCGTAAGTAGATCAGTCGGTAACTTTTGCGTCACCCATTTCATTAGAGAACCTCTTTACAGTAACCTCTTGGCCGAGAAAGGGCTTTATATTCAGGAAGGTTGAGATCCAATGTGCCTCTAGAAATGTTCGGTATTTGGTACGAAAAAAAAAAGCAATTGGTATGATCCAAGCGATTTGTGAGGGAGATGTCTGCAGTTGTGGAGTCCTGTAGCTCAGTGGTTAGAGCACTCGCTTTGCAAGTGAGAGACCTGAGTTCAATTCCAGGCAGAGGGCGAAACCTTGGGCAAGTTTCCTTACTCCACACAGAGCCTAATAATAATCCCTCCAAAACCAAAAACAATAATAAATTGGTCATTTTCAATCTATGACTGTTTGTGGGACATTGCTGTGCGCAATTGGCTGCCGCGTTCGCCCACAAATATACAGTCAATTCACTTTACAGTGTGTTCTGTGAAGCGCTTTGGGACGTCCTCCCGACGTGAAAAGCGCTATATCAAATGCAAGGATTATTATTATTTACTCGTCGTGTGAAGTCTATGCTCTGTACCACATTGCCTTTTATTTTTAAACGATGTCATATATATTGCATATTCAGTAAATTGTAATGTATATTTTATATTCGATAACTTTCTGCAGTGAGGCATTTTCCACTTTTGGAAGCGTTTCTAAGCAAATCCTGGACTGCGGTATCACTTGCGGTGTAGTTGCAGAAGTTCTGAACATATTGACAATGAATGAACAGGATATGGCTGGCCCTTTTTGGCACAGACTGTTTATTTTTCTCTCACCACCCAAATTATCACTGGTGATGGCCCTGAATTTGGGTCGTGCTTCGAATTTCAGATCAACATTTTGCCTGCCGATTAGCAGATTTAACTGAGTTTATTGTTTAGGGGCTTCGCCCGCAAAATATACAGTCAGTTCACTTTACAGTATATTCTGTGAAGCGCTTTGAGCCGTCTTGAAGACGTGATAAAGCGCTATGTCAAATGCAAGGATTATTATTAGTAGTAATAGTAGTTGTAAAGCTATGATTTGTTGACTGGCACTTGTACTCTCTGATCACAACCTTCTGTTTGTTACATTCCTCTCACACCGCCTGCACATCATCTCCTCAAGTTGCTTCTCCTCTAGCCCCCGAACCGTCTTGTGCGGCATTCCTCAGGGCTCTGTCCTTGGTTCCCTCCTCTTCAACATTTATATGTTCCCCCTTGGTGACATCATCCAGACATGGGGTCAACTTCCAAACAAAATGTCTGTTAGACATCAAGTCCTGGATGAGAACTAACTTTCTTCAGTTGAACATCAACAAGACCGAGGCTCTCCTGATTGACTCCCGTCGGCGCCGCCTCACCTCAGGCGCTGACAGTGTGGTGATACACATTCAACCTCGCTAAGCCAGTCCGGAAACTTGGGGTCTTGTTCGACCCTCAACTATCCTTTCTACCCCACATTCGCGCCATGACCCGCTCTGCCTTCCCCCACATCCGCAATGTCGCCCGGCTCAAACACTGTCTTCACACCGCAGGCCACCAAAACCCTCATACAGGCCTTCATTACTTTGAGGCTCGACTATGCAAACTCACTGCTTGTCGGCCTTCCCAACTCCTCCTTCCACAGGCTGCAGATCATCCAGAACTCTGCAGCCCGTGTCCTCTCCTGCACCAGGCTCCACGATCCTATCACCCCTATCCTTGCCCAACTCCACTGGTTTCCCTTCACACAGAGGATACAGTTCAAGATCCTGATCCTCACCTTCAAAACCTTCAAAGGTCTTGCTCCCCCCTACCTTTCTGACCTCCTAACCCCCTACCACCCTGTTCGCTCCCTCCGCTCAGCGGGCTCCAGCTTGCTTCACGTCCCCCGTCTTGCTGCCCCTCTATTGGCAGGCAGGCCTTCTGCTATTCTGCGCCCACACTCTGGAACTCCATTCCGCAGTCCCTCCAGCTCGCCAAAACTCACCTCAGGACCCTCCTCTTCGATCGTGCTTTTGATCTCCCTGCCCTCCCCCTCCCCCATCCCAACCCTCAGCTCGGGTCCGAAACTCTGTCTGTCCAGTGCCTTGGGACGTCCTCACGACGCGAAAGGCGCTTTACAAATGTAATTTTGTTGTTGTTATTTAGGGATCAAACAGTTGATTTCATTTAGTTCCAGGAAGCAGATTTTTTTTAACCTGAGTTTGGTTTGCTCCAACCGATAAATATTGTTCCGAGTTTATTTTGATCAGCCGGGTGTCTGGACTCGTGCAGAAACCCATCACCGTGCTCAAGACTTTCTAAACCAAACTGAGAATTCCATGTAACCCACCTACCCATGTTTTGAGGGTGTGAGCCGCGGGGCTAGGTGTACAGTGATGGGCTCCTCATTGCTCCCTCCCTGATGTTCTCGTCTTTGTGGTCTACAGAGCAGGGACTGTTTGCAGCACGGCTCACCCACAGAGGGAGAAGTTATCCAGGTGCGATGGACTGATGGTCTGGTGTACAGTGCCAAGTTTATCACTTCTGATCTCCGGTATACCTATCAGGTAGGTTAAAGCTTCACAGAGTCGACCAGCAGCGACGTAGCACTCTCCAGTGAACCAAAGCCAGGTGCCAATCCGGCTCAGTCGGTAATGCTTTAGCACTAGTGGAATATTATGGAGCGCATTGTACTACCCTTTGGGGGAGTTCTTAAACCCTGTTCCCGTTTGTTCTAGTGGTTCAGGTGGATGTTAAAAATCCCGTATCACTGTTTAGAGGAGACGCAGAGAATTCTCCTGGTGTCCAGACCAATACATCTCCTCATCCAAATTCATTAACAAACACATAGTTTGTTGTTCACCTCATGGCTGTGTGCTTTGTTGCTGTCGCAGATCAGGTCACTACATTTATATAGTGCCCTTCAAGTAGGATAAGCTCTCAGAGTGTCTCACGAGGACAGGGTCAGTGGCTGAGCAGGGGAGGGGGGAAGGAGCAGATGGCTGTAGACGCGTTGGAGGAGGTAGTTTTAACGTGGGACTTACAGACAGAGTGGGGTAGAGGGAGAAAGTTAAAGAAAAAGTCTTTGTCTGCAAAATAAGGAGCTGCGTCAAAGTAGAGGTGCCCAGCCTCAACTTAGCACCTGCCCCCCCCCACCCCCCCCACTGATACAACAATTGTAACCAGGATATCAGAGCATGGAGAATTGTGGCTCAGACCTACATTCCGTTGCTCTGTGGTGCTGAAAACGGATCCCTATCTGTTGTTTCTCAGGTGGAATTTGAGGGAGGTTCCCAGATGACCTTGAAGAGAGAAGACCTGTACTCGTTGGAGGAGGAGTTGCCCAAGCGAGTGAAAGCACGACTGGTGAGTTCAAGGCGTACGTGAGCTAGGTTCAGACGTTGTCTTACAGATGGAGTCTGCACTAGTGCACATGTATTGGTGTGCAGGTGATGACCAGGCTGCCGTCAGAAATAGTGCAGAATTATCCTGATCCTTGTCTGAGATCAAAATGTACCTTACAATTTGCACTGTAACCAAAGCAGTCACAGCTTTGCGAGCAGAGACTTCTGTGAGAAAACTTTCAAATTAACTTTTTTTTAAAAGAAGAAATGGCCAAATAGATTAGTATTAACCTTCATTTAGAAACGTACCATTTACCTCAATAATTGATGTACGATCCAGATATAGCCCAGTGATGGGGTAAGTGCTCATTTAGCCCAGTGATTGGGTTATGTACCTGACCTTTACCCCAGTATCCATTTCAGGAAGAAATTCTCCCACTGAACACTGCTCACCACCACCCATCTCTGCCTACACACAGTCCTGTAGCTCAGCTTATTATCCCAGTAGTGAGGTTTAGATTGAACCACTTGACAGCATCTGCTGCCAAATTCCTGGAGCCAGTTCCATTTGGACTCTACCCAATCTGTTATTTACATTTGATCTGGTATTTTAAAGAGAAAAAAATAAGTGGCCTGATTTGAAGTGGCCATTGAATCAGTTTATCAAGAACTTTACATTTCAGAGCTGCTTACAACCCGTTTTAGTTCAAAACGTTGGAAGCCTGTTGGAAGGAAACTTAATTTTGCAGCTGCCGTGTTAAAGTGGGGTGGGGGGGCGTAACACTAGGTTTGCTGAGAGGGATTAAAAAAAAATTGTCCATTTTCTATTCCTGAATTATTGGTTCGGGGAAGCTCTCGTCGGCTGGCACATCATGATAAAATGCCTCAAAGTGCTTAATTATTAAACCTTTCAATAAGCAGAACATTGGCTCATCGGGCAGTATAATGACAGAGGCAGCGAGTTCTGCAACAGGGGATTTAATTTGTCAAACATTTGCAGTGGCAATCTAAACAGCAACTTTTTGTTCAGAGGTAACGCAGCCCACGGGTTTTCGAGGCAATTTATAGGCATATCCTCCCCCAAGGCAGACCACGGAATACAGCAAGGTATCGCAAACAAAGCAGAGGCGTGCTTTGATCTCGAGCATTTAGTGAACTTAATGGTGGATAAAGGACCGCAATGAATAAGGGCATAATACAAACATTTCAGCTCTGGGCCACGTGACGATCCCAGAGAAGCTAGGTCACTGGAGCCGTGCAGGAAGAGGAGTCCTGTCAGAAATCTCCATTCTTCATTAAACATTTAAGCAGTCCCCAGAAGGATGCTTGTCATAACTGCCAGGGTTGGTTGAAAGTAATCTTGGTAATCAGTATTCTGGACAGACAAACTTCTTTTTTTCTTGCAAACTGCATTAAACATTTGTTATAAAATATGCATCCATATGTTATAAAGGCCCAATGATGAAAGGACGATTGGTGTCGAACAGAAAAAAAAACACCCTGCTCCCAAGATGGGGATATAAATACCAGATGGGAAGCGACACAATGCCAAAGACACACATTTATTAGTGGGTAGTGCGGGGGATTTGCAACCTGAGATGCATTTAACTGGATCAGTACTTGAATGTCCTTCTTTAGCTATTCAGAAGAGAAGGAAATGGGAGCCCACAGGAGCCTTCTAATCTCCTTTTCTCTCCTGTTTTGAGGTAGCACAGCACGTGGCAAGTCATAGCATGGAACATATTAGTGTCACAAGAGAGGTTTAGATGACTTTGCCTTGGAGAATATGACATCCAACTCTGCTATCCTCCCATTTCAGCATCAACAACCGTTTCTTAAATGAGTCCAGTGTCCTGGCTCCTGGGACCCTTCCTGGTAACTAGTTCTAGGCTGTCACACACACTACCTGTGCGTAAAGAAATACTTCCCGGTCTCTGATCTAAATGTGCCCTTCACAAACCCGTTGTGCTTGCCTGCATTGGTGTATTTTGAAAGTATTGTTTGGGGTTTTCCTGGTTTTGAACTCTGGTGAATAATGCCCACTCAAATGCTTGGTTTGTTTCCAGTCACGGCTCACTGCCTCTCCACACGAGGACATGCTCTCTGGGGAAGAGGCTAAGGAGGCCAAGCGAGCTAGACCATCCAGCTCATCCTCATCCAGCTCCAAACATCCAGAAGACTCCGCTAACAAGGACTACACTCAGAGTCCCGACTATCTTGCTTTCATGGAAAGCTTCTTTCACTCACAATACCAGCAGGGATATTAGTCAGCAAGTCTTGTTTCATGCTTTACCTTGTTTTTGTTTGTTAAGGGACTTTCCTTTTTCTTTTTTTTTCGCTTTTTTTTAAAAAAAAGAAAAAACACTTTTGTGCTTAATAAATGGAATCAATTGAAAATAAAGTCATGGGGAGGGGGAGGGAGTGGGGTGGGTAAGAGTGGGGTTAGGGAGGGCGGGAGGGAGTGAGTGAAGACTTCTCAGTGTGAATACTGTGAGCCATCTTCTGGGAAGGTGCAAAATGAATTCAGATTTAAACTACTGAATTTGCCTTGAAGTTTCGACCAGGTCCCTTGGACGTACGGGAGTACTGTATGCGCGAGATCTTTTTCAATATTCGGGTTTAAAAAAAGAGCGAGTGAGAGACAAGTGCAGTGTCTCTCTTAAAGCTTCTGTGCATATATTCTTGGCATGTTTGAATCAAAGCAATATTGCAGCTGTTGTGTGTGTGGTCTTGTGAAATTGGAACGTTGGAGAAAGGTGGTCTCACTTTATCTTTATCTGCAGAAAGGCAAATGGTTTTCAAACACTTTTTCGGGTATAGTATTTCATTGGTAAAGGCTTTCCTTGGTCCATTTTGAAAATGTTTAAAGATGGCATAGAGACAACATCCTAAAATAGGGGTCAGGGTCGGAGGGAGGGAGGGGAGAATCCCTTAGTAGATGCCACTTCAGCACTTGGCAGAATCCTCATGGGGGTGAGGTGGGGTTAGTCTGTATGTGTCGGTGATTATTACACGATAATGCCCACTCTAGCGCTAACATGTCACTCCCTCGAATTTAGAACGTAAAGTTTTCAGATGGTATCGAGCCTCCTCTGTGCACCTTCCATTCGTGCTTTTACGCGCGCATGCGCGCACGTGGAACCTGCTCTACCTTTCATTGTTGATACTTCTTAGGGAATTTGACTCGAAGTAGTGCAACGTACCCTCACGCTATGTGCAAAATGGGTACATAACCAGAGTGTAAGCTAGTTTGGAACTCAGTATTTCACTGGTTACCCCTTCCCTCCATCTCCATCCCCCCCTCCTTACTCCCGGTCTATTGGGATGTAAGGGGGCGGGAAAGCAAAAAAAAGACTGCTTTGAATTGCAATACAGTGAGGGTGGGGGGGGGGAAAGCTTAAATTATTTGCAGATTCTTGCCAGTATCCCTGATGCTGACTTCTCTGATTGCTTCTCTGTTGATCAGGGATCTAGGAAGAATTTTAATGTCTCCTGATAGATAGTTTGATGACTTTATCCAGCAAGTTGCTGAGCCATAGAGATCAGGAAGGTGCCTGGTTTGTTCCCCTCTCTGTTGATTGAGTTTCTGCTTTCAAGGCAAGATGACACTAGGAATACTGCATTAGCGACTCGCTAGGTTACGGGGGAGAAAGAGTGAGGGTTTCCATCCTAATTCCTAGCTGTGACGCATTCTGGAAGGTGTGTGTGTGCGTGCATGTTGAATGGCTATGCAGCATGATTCCTGTGATTCTGACACTCACTAACAAAGGCTGTGAATAATAGCTGATTGGGGTAAGGTACTTGATAGCATCTGTTGAGTTGGTTGCAAACTGTTGAAAAGCAGTTGAACTTCCCGAGGAAAGGAGAAGGAAGAAAAAAAATAATTTAACTGAGCCGAGCACAGCAGCTAACTTACCCAGAGGTGAAACCCGTGGGTTGGATTACTGCAGGTACCATCGCTCACAACAGCTGAGCTTTGGTTAAGTATTACTGATCATTTTTCAATTTTGGGGAGGGGCAAGGCAACGCCATGTGTGGGTGGGTAGCAGGGGGTGATCTGGTGTTCTCATAAGTGATTCATAGCGGGGATGATCTAATGCCTAGAGGGAGGGTTTGTTTGGAAAGAACACTGAAATGAAATTCTTTACAAAATATAGCCACTGTCTTCAAAAGCCATGAACTATTGATGGGAGTCATAAATCCTATCTAATGCCCCCAAAAATGCATTAAGTCACTATTAAATATTTTGAATTATATTCTATTCTTTAAAATGTCAGGCGACTAAAATGCCCGCCATTCATTCTATCCTGAGCATCAGACATTTTGGCGCCTTATATTTGGACTGCTGGAGGTATTTAGAATACAGTTGTAAAGATGCTGCTTATGAAATTGTTGGTTCATTGGTACTGATGTTATAACCGCAACTTTCCAATAGCTTTCCTCTCTTCAGTCTGTGACGAGCATCTGCTTTAAGTGCCCCCATTTCAGAATCGCAAGCTGCAATTCCTCGAATTTGGGAGGGGGGAGGAAGGAGGCGGTTTTAAAGCAATCATCTGCCACTTCATATGAAAAATGTAGCCAATTTCAGATGAGCATTAATTTTATTCCAAGTCCAGAGCAATCTCAGTCACTTCCCATTAACTGCAGTTCAGTGAGATTTCCGGTTCATGTAGAACAGTTAACAATCACTTTTATTTCCCATGTATTTGGAAAATGGTCCTACATGGTTTGATGGCGAATTTGGATTTGGTTTTAACTGCAGTTAAATTAAGTAATTAAGTGGCTTGATGGCAAATTGATTGTTTTTAAACGACGTCCAAAGTGATTCACATCCAAATGTAACTTTTTTCTGGAAAGTAATGCTTTGGAAAGCAGGTTCTGCTGATTTGTCCTGTACAGACACCAAGGCCAAATCTCCAGCTACTTTGCATTTAGAGCTTGTTTTGGTGCTTTGACATCTTGAGCATTGGAGACATCTTAAAATCATCATGCAACTATCACTCTTTGATGTGAGGGTTAGGATTCAGACCAAGGTGCCAAGAAATGCGTGGTTATTCCCTCCCCTCAAGTTAGAGGCTCAGTATTCAAGATGTCTTGGAGTAGAGTGCAGCAACATATATTTATATAGGGCCGTTCACGTCGGATGGCATCTTGGTGCGCTTGTAGTGCACTACATCTTTTGCCATCTTGTATGCCATCTTTTGTGTAGCTTTTCATTCATTAACAGTACGTACGAGGCCTTTGGATAAGACCAAAGAGGCTGTGAGGGTTTTTGTGAGAAAGCAAGATTGCTGGACTAATTTTGGTGACTCCAGTGAATGGTGCCGTTCCAAACTCAAATGGTTGCTCCAAACTTGAGAGCCTGCGATTATTTGTGGTCAAAGGACTTGCCTCTTTGCTTTCGTCTTCCTGTTGCAGTCAGAGCGCAGAGAGGGCATCTGTAGTTCAGTTTTGTTCAACTAATTCTGGTTAACCAGCCCAGCTCGGACCTGCAGCTACAGTGAGGTTCCAGCACAGCACGAAAGCCAGAGCCTGCCCATCAGATTTTATTAGAATGAGTCCATCGGCAACTTGACTGAGCATTCGTAAGATGGTCAATGTCATCAGTTCAGAGTAGGCATAAAAAACATTGTACCGCCCATTTTATATCTCTTCAGAAACCCTTCCGTTGTTCGTCTGTCAGAGGAGTTACACCGACAGCAATTCTGGGAAAAGTGTTGTGAGCCAAGCAGTTTCAATCCCCCGCCCCCCGGCTTGTGTGAATTGAATGCAGAAAATTAAGGGAAGTCATTACAAGTAGAGGGACCGAGTAGAAAGTGAAGGGGGTGAAAATGCTGCGATTCTTAACATTTTATTGACTTATTTAATAATTGTGTGTTTTAGTGTTAATAAACTTAATCCTGAGATGCTGCCAAGCTGTTCATCCATTGCAAATCTAAATCTATCCTATTGCCGCTGTGTAAGGGGGGTATTTGGTTTATCTGGATGTCTTAACCTATACTGGATAACAAGAGTTTATCAGACAATTTATTGACTTTGATTTGCCTCGACAAGTTACAAGTGCGAAACGAACACAAAGGCACAGAATCTCCCAGGTTCAGTCCCCGGTCTCCAGTGAGTGAGCTCAGCTCAAAGACATTACTGGTGTTGCCCTCAGCATTCCTGGGCTAGGGAGGGGGCAGTCAGCCCGAGGTCCTGCCCCTGATCACAATCCACTGACCCTTGTACGTGTGTGGAAGTTGCGTGAGGACAGAATTGGGGGCTTGGCTTAAAGCCTTCACAATTGAATGTCTAGCCAACATGCACTGTCGATGCTCACAAACCATGTAACGCTAGTTGGGTGAGGTACTTAATTGGTGACCTCGCATCTGTAGAATTGCACCTGTGAATGAGTGAAGCTGGACGAGGGGAATGAGGAAAGAAGCATAAAATGTCAGGATTCATAGATTTGTTTGTTACCCAATGGGGAGTCTGACTCCAGCTCAGTAATTGGCGAGTTTTCCCTATGTCACATGAAGTCAAACTTGGCAAGCTATCTGAATTTTTAATAATGAAAAAAAACAATTTCAAGTGAATGGTGGAGAAAATACCTGGCCTGTAAGGATGTAAATAGGATATACTGTATAATGAATTGATGCTGCAAAACGGGTTATTCGGCATATACTGTAATAGAATAAGAGCCCAGGCAACTTTGTGTAAATATGGCCATTGCAGGAGAGAGGATCGGGGTGTGCTGTAGCTCAGAGCCTTGTTATGCATTATGATGCATTCAGAAAAGCCCCATCTGACTAACTCCTGGCTCTGATTTTTCTTGTGGGCAACTTTCCCTTCATAGTCCAACATTAATGCCTGCCCACATCTTGCATTCTCCAGCCCTCTTGTCTTAAGGAACCTTGTGGAAGACTCAGTTGGCTGGAATCTGACGAAAAACTGGAGTTAATCCATTAAAATATTGTATTAGCATTAAAACCCCAAGATTAACACCCAACTTCAGATGGGTCAGTATTGGAGCCGTTGACACATGGAGTCACCCTTTTGTGCGGAGGCTGAGTACATGCTACAGATTAGTCTGTGATGATGAGGGGCATTTTTTTCCAAACATTTTTCTTATTTATATTGTATCAGTGCGATTATAATCACTGAAGTGTAATGTTTTCTGATCTTGTACAGTTTCAATGCATTTATTCCTGATTTTAAAATGAAAATAAATTGTATCTCACTCTGATTTATTACAGCCGTGGATTGCCGAAGGGGGGGCGGGGGTGGG